TGGTCCCAGAAATCGTCTCTACTTCTTCTTCCTCTTCCGGGGATGATGCAAGGAATATTTTATCTGGACCTCGAATTTTTCCGCATATAGCTTAGGTATGTTTAGGTTAGGGGGAGGGGAGCCGCGATGCACTCACAACCTACAGCGAGAAGTACACGCCATTTGAGTCATGCGCGCGGACAAGGAGCGCAAGCTGTTGCTTCGAGCACACGTGATGACTGCTCACACAGGGCATCAGAACGTGGGACAAATTCAGCCAGTGCGTAGGTCAGAACGTTCGTCGCATGCCATAGGTCAGAAATGTTCCAGAAAGGCCAGGACCTCATAAGTACGCTGGAGTAGACAAGCTGAGAATTCCTGTTTCTGTGTGGTCCGGCTCTCCGCCTTTTACGTTCCTGGTCGGGGTACAACAGTTTACCTATAGGCCCCAATGCCTTTGTATTTTAATTACAGAGCACTCTTTGTTTTTCCTTATTGATGATTTACCTTTGAAGTTGGCCTTACAAGAACTAAGAATTGCTAGCATCACGAATTATCAGTCGCGGTCTTTTTAACGCTCACAGTCTGAAAACCACACTTTCGACTACTAATGCGACATTAGTATTGTTCAATCTTACTAGTCAACCTTTCGGGGAAGGAGTTTTTTAATGGAGACTGTCTTATGTCAAGGGCACTCCGATTACGATATTATGGCTGTAGAGACTACACTTAGTTCACTAAAAACCGTTTCCTTCAAGTTGTCTCCTATTTCTGAGCTGGATTCCCTATACAAACTGGAAACATTTAACAGGCGTTAGCGTGGCTATTTTTACTGTTGCATACCTGTCAGCGTCGGCCGGCGGACCGAGGGAAGGGAGGTTTCGGGTTCATTCCCCTTCTTCGAAGGCTCTCTTTTGGTCATGTTAATTTGAAAAAAAAAACACATTTAGCGATTCTCATTAGAAATAACCCCAATCGCACTGATGTATTTTAAATACATTGCATTTCTTCCACTGCATTTCTTACCTTTTTTTCAGTTTTGCCGACCGACTCGCGCGAGCACGCTCGTCTGCTGGCTCTAACTCACAAGTCTCTGGACCTCCTGGAGGATCCATCCGTCTCTCGACCAGCTGCTAGAGTGCCCTGGGGCATCCCCGTTCCAGACCGACCCGATCAAACGGTAAGACTT